TTTAGTTGTAATATCAGTGAACATAACATGTCTGTCATATTCTTATTCACTTGGTACGAATGGAATATGCATGATTACTTTTATATATTTTTATTGTTTACATTCCCTTAATCTATATATTATTATCAATAGCTATTCGTTAGTCTTGCTAAAACTCGAGAACGGCTGAACGGATTTATCTTATCTTGTTTTGGAATGTTGGTGGAGGTCTAGGCAAGGTTTAAAGGTGAGAAAAATAATTATAAAGATAGATGTTTAAATATAAAGAAAAGTTTACTAGAAAAAAAAATTACGGTTGTGGGTTGCCTACAATGCCAGGGGATGGCGCAACAAAGCTCTAATTGGCCTATCTCATACTGGAGTTTGATTAATGAAACTAACCGTTAGTCTACCACTTTTAGACAAAGTCGCTTATAAAACGCAACCAATAAAAGTGTTTTAAACTAGGTACCAATTCCTTTGTGCATAGGTAAATAACTAGGCTGCCTTGCAGCCTAAGGCTAGAGAAAAATTCGACACGGCCGTCAGGGCCCGCGGTAGCATAATTGTTAGTGCATTCGCCCGGATAGCGAATGGTGCGGGTTCGAGTCCCGTCTGCTACCAGGCCCGTGTGATTTTTTTTTCTAGTAAACATTTCTTTAGATTTAAACATCTAGCATTGAAATGCTTAAATAATAAAAACCAGGGTTGCTAAAATGCATGATCTTAAGAGGTCATATGTTTTTCCACTGAAACTTGAAATTGGAACCCGTTGAATTTATCTTACAATGAATTGATAAGCTGGGAGATTCTCTCCGACTTTCTGTCACGAATTATTAAAGAAGGCGGAATGTATTTTATTTGTTTCAGTTTTTTTTTTATTTGACAAACGTGTGGTTTATTTTTACAGCCTTTTCTATCTCTTTGGTGATTAGAATTTTGACTAAGAATCCACATTCCTAGTTCAAATCACTTTTAGTCTCTAGTGATTAATACGCTTTTTTAGCCCCTGCATACAGAGAACAAACTAGCTCATTTCGAATACTTAGATATGACTTTTTTGGGAATCGCCTGAAACTTCTATAAATTACAAAACGTCTGAAATAACAGTGTCCCGGATACATTGCTCGCGAGTGTAGTTCTTTCATCGATTTCACAAATTAATCCATTCCTAATAGGAAGGCATTATTAAAGTAATGTTACTCGTGTAAAGTCTTAGACGTGCGACATCGTATCGAAAACACGAATTGTAACGTTATTATGTAGCTAATAAACTTGTATTAATTACAGCTTAACCCATTGGTTGTGCTGTAATGAGTAAGCCGCCAATAAAATGAGTTGTTCGCTAACGATCGACCTTCAGCCCGTGTACTCAGATGTGCACATTATAATTGTTTATAATTCATTCGCATTTTATTATTCATTGTTTTATTGTAAACTACGCTTACTTTAATTTAATGCGCAGTTAAGCTGTAAATATTCTGTATTGCGTTGCGTTCCATCGATATTATGTGTCAATCCTAGATAGGTAGATAGTTACCTAATATTGGACCGTGAACGTGTTACGTTTGTGCTGCAAATGTGGTTTATACTAATATAATGTATTTATGTGGAAAAATTGCGTGTTAAGTGTGCAAGGTACGATGCGCACTCTTGCGTGTTACAAAAACTGCAGTAAATCGTTGCTAGTTGCGTTGTTTCAGCAACTTGTCGTTTAGGTGCCACTTGCGATCGTGCTAGGTCACGTGAAAATATGACATACTAGCGGCCACCCGCGACTTCGTCCGCGTTTTACTTTGTTTTTTTTTAGAGAAGTTATTTTTTTCGGAATAAAAAGTATAATTTGTCACAATCCAGGTCATGAACTATGTGCGTACTGAATTTCATCCAAATCCGTTCAGTAGTTTATGCGTGTTTATATCAATAAAAAATTCGTTACATTAAGAATAACAACATAGTAATTTCTTTGTGGTTTTACGTTAAACTTTGTAAGTTACATCATCATGTGCTTCAAACAGAATTTCTTTGTATCCCCCTTTATTTAGTTAATTTCAATATGTACGTAGGTAAGTACGTAAAACGCAGGGAAACCGCATTTATAACGCAAACGAGGAAAGTAGGCAACGTGATACATTCTGCAGTCTACATCTACACACTACACTGCAGTTTTCTCACACAAAGCTAGTAATGTAATTCCATATAGCTCAGTCAGTCGGCACAGTTTATAAGGAAACCAGTGTGCCACGACTTCGTTTGCGTATAATAAACTAGCTTGTGGATGGGCAGCTGGAAACATTGGTTTCCCATACAAACTTCCACCCCCCATTTCACTTCCTTAAAGCATGATTTCTGTGATAAAAACTATCCTTTTGTCCTTTTCCGGAACTCTAACTATCTTTATTCCAAATTTCATCTCAATCGGTTCAGCGGTTTAAGCGTAAAAAGGTAATACACACACATTCACGTTTCCCTCTACAGTTTTCATCATTTGCAATAAGTTTTAATTTTGTGACAAAAAAGACAGTCAACGCCATTTTTACTTAACTTAGATTAAACCCATTTTGAAACTAGGATAATAATTACTAAACTTAATGTATCAAAATCATCACAGCAGCGGTTTAGGAGTCAAAGCATAACAGTTTAGCAGACTTACGTTTGCATTTATTATGTTTATTATAATGGATAAATTGTTGTTGCTTACCATACTACAGATTAAACTATTTAATTTATATTTTGTGTTTATCAAAACGTGACCTTTGCTTCCAAATATAATGAAGTGAATGACTCATTAAATCAATAGGTGGTATGATACTAGTATATACAAGATGTTTCATTTGTTTATGTATTATTTTATTATAAAAGCTTTATCCACAAATGCTCGCCGTTGTCGGACCTAAGTTACTAGTAACTGTAGAACCCGGCCTCACGAACTAGATTGCCCCTCGCTTCACTTCTAATTCTGTACTCAATTAGTGTGCCCGAGTGGTCTGGCTACTTGAATTGAGCGCGATAAAACGTACCCTACCCTGCTAGTTGTACTAAACACGAGTTTACCGATTCCTGTTTCGTGTAGAAATTTTTATGCAGATATGACACTGGCTATTGGAACATTACACGCACGCACAGTGAGTTGTATTGCATAAGTCGATTGTACAGTAGCAGTGGTCACGACAGCCGTCACGGTCCGCCGCACGCTCGTTAGTTCCGTATCATCGGCAGGACGAGAGTGAATCAGCGTATACTACCTCGCCACTCCCCCGCACCTTTAAATCTATGAGCATTATTACGTCATCTAATAACACTAAATTTTGCATACCTACTCTGTTACTGTTATCTTACAATGTTTTTTGATGTTTGATAATAAGAACAATAATGTTGAGAAGTGGCATAACATAAGCGACCTAGAGAAAGATATCTACATAGGTAATTACTATTTTATTTCGCTATAGCAAAACTTTTTATACGTTAATAGAGCTATTCCTCCGAAAGTTGGAAGCGTGATGATGATTGACCGAACTGACACTCGTTATCTAAGAAAGATAAGTGAAATAACAGCATTAAGCATTAAAGTAAATAACAGCATTTACATTGATAAAAACAATGCAGGTCTTAAAGGTTAAAGTAATTAAAATATTGTAACAGATCAGAATTAGTTAATGAATAAGGACCAATAAAATAGACGTATGACGTACTCGTATTTATATGGGCATTTCTCCACTAATGATGCCATTTTAAAATGCTTAGAAACAAAAATATATTTTTCAACCGCAACCAAAACAACTTCTTCTCAATTGTGAGATCAAAAATTTGTATACTTCTTACATCTAGACAACAATTTAAATCGGCTCTCTTCTGCGGCTTATGAGTTAGTGATCCGTCTGAAGAAGCGGCAGCAAGAGCTAGCAGCAGTTGTTCTGCATGGCCTTAGCTAAACGGCAGTAACTACGGGAGTTCGTAGGATGCGTTATCAGTACATACGTGCAATGCGCTGAATATCCGCTCTTATGTAAGCCTTCTTGCAGGACTTATAAGTAACATTGTAACTGCTTTCAGTGAACCGATCCCGGGATTGTTAAGAGCACTACCTCTGATCTAAGCACAACATGCGGAATGCTTAGCTTACGTGAAATAGCTTCAGCACAATCGCGAATGAATCAACGGTTACCTGTGCCCTTGTGCATCAGAATGTGGAATGTGAGCAGAAAATTCAGCAAAGAAGACGCTTGACTTGGAAATACCTGGGATCCTGATGGGCTGATCAACCAGTTGCTCCAAGTCATGCGCGAGAGCTAATGCGTAAGCGGGGATCCCTATATGGTTGGTTCTTGAGGAACTTAACCCCATACCACAAACTGTGGGGTGCATAACTCCCCTAAAAACCCCAACTCTGCATTGCGAAAAAGCTCCTGCCCATTATCTTCTGCCTTCAAAAAGTCAAGTTGGCTCAACGTCGCTTGTATGGGATCGGTAGAGGCACACGTAGACTAACCCGGTAACCGAGTCAACGTGTAGGTACCCCCTACATGGAGAAGGAGGAATCTTCCAACGGCGGTACATGCGCATGATCAGCAATAAACCACTTTTATTGAAAACGGCATAAATAGCTAAATCTGAAAATACTAAGTGTATTTCAATTGGCGTAACTAGTCGATGGTGGGAGTCGATTCTGACAATATGATTTTCTAAACCTAAACTTGAATTTGACAACAATGTGTCCATGCCGTTCTCTATACAAAATGAAAAGGAGAGACTGGTGTTAAATTTAGTTTTAAGTTTAGAGGATCATGCCTAGAATCGACACTATTGTCTACAAAATATTTGTGATAATAGCATATTTTATCAAACTGTAGTAAACAACTCTTAAGAGTTTTTGTATAGGCATTTTTATTCGCTGACAATTGTGATGAAAAACACTAGGTAGGTAATAGGGAGTTCGGTAAAAAATCTCTTCTACAATACATTATAAGTTAATCAATCAACTTAAAAGAACTTAAATAACTTGTGTTTTTCTTTATCAACAGATGATGAAGAGGATTCAGGGGTAGGAGTGGCCCGACATGAACTCAGACGTGCACCGTCATCAAGCACATCCGCCGCTTGCTCAGGTAAATAACCTTTTTATATGACAACATGATCAACCGAAAGGGAAAAGACCACTTTAGTTAGCTAAAGCTTAAATTAAAAGGTTTTCGACACTAGATTTCATACTATCGGTCGTGGTGGTAAAGTAACTATACTCACTGTATGTAACACGATCGATAGATACCTTTTTTTAAATACAAGGCGAAACACGAACACCCCACCACTTCAGATTTTAAGTGTAACTAGCGGCCGCCCGCGACTTCGTACGCGTGGAGTTAGTTAGAAATAAATGTTCACTGCTCGTTCCCCGTAGGTGATAGCGTAATAATATGTAGCCTTTATGTTGACCCGACTTCTTAATAATATCCGTGACAAATTTGAAGTAAATCCATGTATTTTTTGTGTTTATCCCGGACATACATACAGACAAACAGACAAAAATTTTAAAAACTATATTTTTGGCTTCGGTATCGATTGTAGATCACACCCCAAATTCTCTTTTGAAAAAATATTCAATTTACAGTTTTGACTTTCCTACCATTTTATTATATGTATATATTGATTGTAGTCTACTTAAGTGTGACCTCTAAACTTCGCGTTGCTTTGAACTATCTTGGTAATTTGGAAAACAAAGAAAGTAGTTTTGGAAACTGACTGCTAACCTTGGTTAAAATTAAGAAGCTCTGAGAGATGAACTTTTACATTTTTAACAAGTTATTTTATCATGCTTAAGTTCGATTCGTTTGTTTATCTTATGCTGGTAACTGTTTAAAATTAAGAGACTCTCTTAGCTTATATTTGAATCACGTTCATATGTGTTATATGTGTACACATTATGTATGCGAATACATAATGGTGAATAATAGATTCTTTGTACAGTTCAATTATGACCACTATAGCATAGTCGCTGAGGTCGATCGTTACATCATGGTGTTGGAATCATTACGATCGGACTTCGGAATAAAAGATGTTTTTCACCATTAGCATACATCTTGCTAGCTGTAATTTGTTTGTAATAAGTACCCACAGCTAAACTTTATCACTTATGATGTCAACTAAATGCTGTACTTTTCCTCCTTTGTTCTGGTTATATTGTATTATTGAAATATAATTTCATATCCGTCCGTTCACTGTGCGGCTCTAAAATTATACAGTCTCAATTCATCCGTTATTTTGTTTATTTAAGCTGTCGACAACTGGGTACCTGCACTTCTGCATCTCGACTGCCTGGCACCCTGCCAAGGTTATGCCTCTTGTCTGACCGTAAACTGTCTTTTATGAGAGAATTATCTTTTGTTCAGTAGTGATAAATCGTTTATAATATCTTATTACAGCGATTAAAGTAACAGACTAGTAGAGTTTTTCGTATAAATTCGATATTGGAATAAATGAAAGTAGCTATGTAGGAAGGTATCTTATTTGAGCGTCTTATCTTATGTGATATAGAAAAATGATGATAATCTGCGTAGATTGTTGAATTGATCTGTGTCCAAGTGTTAGGTAGCTTTAGCACTATAGCTTTTAACAAAAAACAAAAGAAACACAACCACGCAGATCTGATGATCTAACTCCCAACTCAATTTGATATTAAAGTTATTTACATTCCTTAAACTAACTTAAAGGGTAAATAAATTAAGAGTTCACAGGACTACCCTTTGGTTCTGCCCTTTAGATTGTCTAACTCTGAATATACCTGTCTGTATTCAAAGTTAGAAAATCTGTATCTATAAATTTTTTCCACATTGATCTGACCGGGAATCAAATTAATTTGGGGACCTAGAGATGACTAACACTAGGTCGGCTTCCTCATCTCTGTTAACGAAGGTCATCCAATTTGACGGTCGTCGATCGGTGTAGAATTACCGTATTAGTACTTACACCGTAACTAAACTGCATTGTTCGACGTTGATCGATGTCATCGAACGATTAGTAAGAGATACGCGTAACAGTATTCACATTACTAAAAGATATACGTTTTTTAAAAATCAATTTAGTTGAAAATCTTTACATCGATATCTTGAAAAATACAAATGAAAAATCAGGTTTTCTATAAGAAAAATAGATTTTATGAAGAAATCTAGGGTAGGGTCACGACGGACGAGGTAAAATTTGTTCGTACAACATGTACACTGTATTCACTGCTGCACTAGCTGTTTTCAAAGCACGCATGTCATTAGGTATTGAGAACTAGCTGAGCTTTCTTTAAAACTTATTTCTAAACTATCATTGTAAACATAATATGTGAAATGAGGAGCTAATGGTATAGGTTGCGGCAAACTTCTTGAGCAAAACCATATACAAATTAAACTTACACAGTAGACGTTTTGGTATGTAAATATAAAATGCTACTGCGCAGGCTTCCTCGTCTTTATGGTCGCTCGTTGCTCAAGAAGTTTGCCGGGATGTATAACAGCTAGTATTGTTTTATTGCAGCACGGCGTGCACACAGGCGCGCAAGGTGTCGCATGCGGGTGGTATTCGGCGTCGGCTGCACCAGCGCCCACCGCGCCGGTACGCCTCAAGCGCTCCCAGCCGCCGCACCAACTACCGGTGAGAAAACTAATATTAACGTACATCATCGAATAAGGAGCTCGATGGCGCAAGTGGTAAGCGCGTTCTATCTGCAATCGTTGAGGTTAAACAACTTTCGCAATGACCGCTCATTGGATGGGTGATCAGAAATTCATTAGGTTCGAGCTCCTCCGTATTTCGGAAGGCATGTTAAGCGATTGGACCCGGCTTCATCTGCAGTCGTTACCAATCCGAATTGGGTCCGCGTGGTTGGTCATGTCATGTCATGACCGGATCTTCTTATTCTATCCATGGGAAGGCCGATTCCCCAGCAGTGGCGACATTATAAATTTAATGATGATGGTTGTAATAATATTGGATTCATCAGAGGCGCCATTACCTATGGTACAGTACAGTACAGAGTTGCGTTGCACGCTAGCAGAGCTGCACTCGCAAGTCGCCACCATTTGTTTTTGACCGCTTATTAAAGGGTGATTGTCATTAAAGTGCATACGAGCTGTACGCTGAGCCTAGAAACGCTTCTGGGATTCATCAGCATATCACTGTTTTGGTTCCATACATAAATGAAATTGCGAAAATAACTAAAAACTCCTGCCATCATGAGCACCGCGATATAATAGTATAGCTCGTTTTTATCACGCTTAATTGTCAAATTACTATGAACTTTGACAGTTAGACGCGATAAAAAACGTGATATAATGTTAATTGTGGTGCTCATGCTACGGGGACTCAGAGCCATGCTCGTCGACTATCATCGACCTAACGTGCCTTCTGAAGTCACAGGAGCTCGTAATATTAACTATTCATTCTATGCTCAATTCTGTATTTGGCGGATAACCTCCGCAGATGTAGGTAAAACGCGCTTCCCATTTTATGCATTAAACTTTTCGAGATAGTAACCTACACCACCTTAGCACCACATCATCTATTTCTCTTTTAAAAACACTTTCGGAAACTATCGCATTCCTATGGAATAGAAAGAAAAGATAGTAATGTAATGTTGCGTTCAACAACATTTCCATTGATAACTTAAGTAGGTAATTACTCGATGACTTTGGTCTTGATCACGAGATATCAAGCATCTGACCTTTAGAAAATGCGCAACACCTGGAAGGAAAATATATAAAAACAAAATAAGGAAAAACTTGCAATCTATCGTCACCTTTTTATAAGAAGTTCCGGGTTCGATCCCTTCGAGACAATGTAGAAAACTTTGTTTTCTTTGTTTGTCATCATGATGTCGTTATCTGTAATTTAAATTATCCGGATATCGCCTATTATTTGATATCTATCAGATCAATCTAGAAATGTTGTAAAATAAGTTGGATATTTTCAAGAGTATCAGAGATAATAATATTATCTTTTAAATTACAATAAGTAATAATTAACTTTGCAATGAAATCTGTAGAAACAATTACTATGCCCACTGGCTTTGTCACATAATCTATTGCTTCTCTATTCACGCGACGATAACCTTAAATTAACGGGACGCAAGCGGCAAGCATAAGCAATACGTGAGAGTATTTTTCACGTTTGTCCTTCACACGTGAAATACACGACTTGAGCCAATTTGGAATTTTGAGGTCCGCCGTAAGATTTGGCATAGACTAACGCATATTTGACATGCTGGAACTAATTTCTCGTTACAAAAAAGCGATTAATCGTTCATAGACTACTGGTGAATCGAATTTGAAATTGTTGAAGTTATACTTCTTTAGCCGCGTTATGAAAAATTTATGAGAGTGAAATTTTCATCACTGTAACACAAAATTTTAACATAATGAAGTTAGCCGCGGGCGCGTTATTTGTATGTAATATTTTATTTTCCAAGTGACCGTGGGACAGATTTGAACAAAGCAAACAGGGCAGATTTGAACGGGACATTGAAATGAAATGAAATGAAATGAAATGATAGTGATTTTAATTGAATATTTTGAATATTTTTTTAATTTTTCAAATTAAAACTGAACTTAATTGACTGTGTTAACTATCCTTTTCCAGTCCTCTTATTATTTTATTGTAATTATTAATTATTTGCATGCAATTAAAAAATATTTTAATGATGCTAAAGAAGTATAACTTCTCACGCGCGTACATAAGTTACACGCATCCATTTTTTTTTATTATAAATAATGACACGAGTTACACTACTACGATACTCATCCTGCAGTGAATGTGGTATTACCATAGTAGAAATGTTTTAATGTACATTTCAGAGTTTATAATTTATCATTTGCGAGCGTGTCAGCCAGCTCAAAACATTTTAAAAATTCACATAAATTCACGAGCTACACACACGCGACTAGGTTTATTTCAATAGCATAGCGTGACGTCTTAATCTATTGGATGGCCTAGTTCACACAATTAATAGTCACGCAATTCTTTAAAAGATGCATAAAACCATTTTTCAAATGCGGCGTGCAGTTCTTAAAACGATTTTATGAACCACGCTTATGGCGAACGATGCCGTTAATGATCTCGAAGGCGGCTGCCTCAACCTCAGTTTTTCCTTTATTAAACCTTTACGGTTTTTTTTCTACTATTCACTCGCTATCAATGTCATCTCTTTCTAATTTATTACATTTGATTTGAAATTCCTGTGGGTACTTAAGATTCTCTAAACTTAAAACTAAATTTAACATCAGTCTCTTCTTTTCATTTTGTATAAAGAATGGCAAGGATACACTGTTCTCAAATTTAAGTTTAAATTTAGATCATGCCAGAATCGACACCATTGTCATCCCATGAAATGTTATACCGTTCACATGTGCGTAATTGGTTATTGTGCGATGAATGATGAAAAATTTCCCACGGGTAGAAAGTCGACGGCGACGCGCCGGCCGGGAGGGTGGCACACGCAGAGACGAACGAAGCTTTTCACTAAGCAATCAAGCAGCCTTGATATACGAAGTGTGCGGTACCTTTATGTCGATCGTGCATTTGCACTGAAATAGGCGAGTTTATTTTTAGTGCAATTTCAAACATTGTTCCAGTCCGGAGGTGGAGTGAGCGGCAGTAATGGGCCACTCGCGCCTCTTTCGCCCACCGCATTGCAGAATTCCGTACCACAAAATGTAAGTACGGAACATGCATTATTTACACACCACAATACTTTTAACCGTTTTATAATAAGTTATAACAATTACATATATTTCGCGTTAAATATAAATTGTTTCAATTTGTTGTTTCAAAACTATTGTTTGTTTTCAAACAACACATTGAATAGAAACAGTACTACAGTACATTCACGTGAAAAATATGTATTTAGTTTGATATTAAACATCATGGTAATAAACAATAACATTTAATTAGGCGCATGCATAATTATGTAAAATAAGTATACCTGCATATTGTTTACTATGTAGACTTAAAAATAAAAAACGAGCGAGCCTTACAGTAGTCTCGTATAATGTGTAATATTTGAAACCTCACCTTATAGTAGTAAAAAAAGAAATAAAACCTATTTCAAAAGGACAAAGCCATTTGAACATTATGTTTTAAAATCAAATCAAATAGCGCGCGCTTTCGTGACTTCCTGTTACACACTGCCGTCACATTTCACGAAATCACTCTCACAAATTGCAGAAAAGCGAGAGGAAAAATGATACACATCAATAAGAGATGAAAAAGGGTAAAACATTAGTTTTCATGAGTGACGCCACAACAATACAAAATTGCATGCGCATATTGTTAAAGACTTCATGATTTATACTTAAACCTTCAGCTGTTGTTCTACATTAAGTGCATGAATATAACTCGTATTATTAATTACAGAACGTGATGTCATCTTCGGTGCGGGCGCCCGCACCGCTCGGCCCCAACTCTTCGGCCATGCACACGTCACAAACCTCGCCTGGTACGTTGTTTGTTATTTCTAACATCCTCATTACGTACTCAATAACGTTTTGTATGAAATCCATCGATAATTAAGTACAACAGACTACACGAATTGACGCATTTGTATTTTACCAAAATATCCTTAAAGCGCAACTGGATCGTAACAAAAGCTTTGTTGTTTTTAATTTCCACTGTCTGTCATCTGCAGATCACCTTTTTGATAAAAAGGTTGCCTGATAACATTTTTACTGCTTGTTAAAAATCCATATACTCATAGAACACTTGTGATAATAAGATTTACCAAGCGTGTGTTTCACAAAAAAAAAATGTATAAAACCATTTTAAAATAACTCGAAAATAGTTGCGCTCATCAGCCATATGATAATCGATTTCCAACTAGTCCAATCAACTCCTTTCGACGGAATAAGTATTATGATACCTACCTTTGTACTTGATGATAGTAAATAATTCTTTTGTTTTGCAGTGGTCATATCGAAAGGAAGTAGCGACGTTCTGGTGAACTCTACCGCTCAAAACCCACCGCCCGCTGGCAACAGGCTCGTCAACATGACCCAGTGGCCGTAAGTTAAGACATTTCACTAAACAATGTTAAAATTTGAACCAGTGGTTCAGCCTTTGAGTGACGAGGGACCATAAAATTTCCGTCTTGCTTCGGACCACCACTTACGATTTGAACCCCCTAGGATTTGTAAATCAATCAGCGTTCTTCCTTATGTTCTATTTATACGCGGACCACTTCGAGTGCTTCCGCGGACCACCGGTTTAAACAATGCGACAGGCTTGTAATTAAGTTATTAAAATATTACCACTTAACAAGATAATAAGAAGCAGGCCACATTCACGTGAAATCGCTTATTTATTGAATTAATAATAAAGTACACACACACATAACAACATAAACAACATTCACGTGAAATCGCTTATTTATTTAATTAATATTACACACACACATAATAAAATAAACAAGGAAAAACAGAGACAAGAAACGGCGACAAAAGATTTTTTTAATCAAATATTTTTAAAACCTAGTTAAAGATCTAGCAGTCGAATGCTTAAAAAATCAAAATTTACCTATCATTGCTATTTCTTCTTTCAAATGTTAATACTTGTTAAGGTTTATTTTTCACATTGTGGTTTAAGGTCGACAATTACCTAGATTTATCAAGATAAGGTATTTCTTTATGTACTGTTTGTATAATCTTATCGTTTATATTTATTTTATTCAATAAGCTAAATAATTCTTTATCATTGCAGATAGTGATTTATTAGACATAACGCTTTGTGATTTTGAAACTATGGAGAGTGACATTATAGCGTGTTTTAATAAGCCTAGCAAAGTTAAATTGTTTATACCACCGATCGAGGCGTGCACTGACTTCGAGTAAATATCGTGCCAATGCGTGTTTACTCAAACAGTTAATTAAATGCATCGCGATTATGTGTTGTGTAATCGATTAGGCAATTCTGTTAATTAATACTTTAACAATGTTTTGCGGACATGTGGATTCATTCTTCGCTAATATTATGGATAATCGCATTAAATTTTATGTGAAATAGTGGCTTGTTGAATTTGGTTGCTTGAGAGCATACCTTTTGTGCTTCCGTCTTATTTTCGTTTGAACGAGTATAACCCTATTGGGGAATACCCAAATATCTCATAGACACATGGCAGCCAGCAAGGCAGTTAGTGGGATTCTCTTTTGGTCACACTCAAAGAAAGTAGAAGGTTTCCATAATACTGACTGCTTTCTCTCGTTACAAAATTTCACTACCTCATTATCCTCAGTCAATCAAAATATTGTGTTCAGCCGTGTGTTTATCGCCCAGCATCGCCGAAGTCTCAATGACCAGGATAAGTTTCATTAAGATCTCGTCAAATATTTTCTAATACCGATAAATTATTTGTTACTTATTACATTGTCTGTCTACCAACAGCCTCAAGTTCTTGACCTGAGGTCCTCAACGTCAAATATAATTGTTGCGATCTTACGTTAAACCTCTAATTCTTAATCTGTTTTAAATTATATGTGTATGTTTGTGCATTTCTTAAGTTTTACGCACACCAAAAAGCTTCCTGTGTTTTTGCGACTACGGTGCCTGTAAATTATCCGAAATATCAATAATAATAATCACGCTTTGTACAAGCGCACATTGAGCCATTAATCGCTTACACTAAATGCCTCTAGTAGCTTAGTGGTGTAGTTTGCGCCGATACTATACAAAATGTATGAAAAAACTCGATTAGTGGCTCAATGTGCGCTTGCTCAAAGAGTGCTTTTTACATTGACACTAATTATTTACTAAACAATCTAGTATGGAATAACAACAGTCAGATGTATCATTGTTTGCGTACAGATGGCATTACGGCGCCATATCCCGCGAGCGAGCCGAGGCTTTGTTGTCCGGCTCACCGGACGGAGTATTTCTGGTACGCGAGAGCACCAACTTCCCCGGTGATCACACGCTGTGCGTCCGCTACCGGGGACGAGTGGAGCATTACCGGTGAGACGATCGACGTTTGTGAACACTATGACTGTAGGCCCGATTCTGACTTGTCTCCATATCCCGCGAACGAGCCGAGGCTTTGTTATCCGGCTCGCCAGACGGAGTGTTTCTAGTGCGCGAAAGCATCAACTTCCCCGGCGACCACACGCTGTGCGTCCGCTACCGGGGATGAGTGTAGTATTACCGGTGAGACGATCGACGTTTGTGAATATTATGACTAAAGGCTTGGGGCCCAATTCTCGCGGCGTAGATATTATATCGACTTCGAGATAATATCGAAAGTAGGGAAATCTAAATATCCACTGATGGTAAAAAATGCTATTCTCGTGGATTTTCGATATTCCAATGATATTTTATATCTATCGTAGATATTCTTTCACTGACGAATGCGTTCAGTTTTTCTCGATTAAAGTAACATCATAGTCTATATAAAATAATAATAAATTAGAGCAGAATTTTACAAGCAACAAAATGATATTTTATATTTTATGAATTCCATTCATATTAAATATGAGTATAAATTTTTTGAGTATAAGAAATCTTAACTTTACTTAAATTGTATATAAAATTTCAACGTTATGTATAATGAAACGTCAATATTATTTAAGATTCTCCCTTTTCAGGGAAGGCAAAGGGAACAATGCCCATACAGCCTAGTCTTTAGTTATATTAATCTTCTTTTTTTTTGATGGATGAGTTGATTCATGTTTTCGTCAATGATTTAATAAATGACGTGATTGCTGCTGCTGTGCTAAGGCGCCGCACTATGTGGAGATCGAGTCGGTTTCGGGTCATAAATCTATAACTTCCATGTTTTTATAGATATACAGCTGATTTTTTTTTTAGGTAATCTGAGATAAACGTACTTTAAAATAATATACAGTCTATGCATATAAAAATATATTTAATAATTGTAAAAAAATACAAAACATGAAATATTGAAAAATTATCATAAATTTACGACTAATTTTAAACTATGTGACCTAAATGTTATAATTAATACAAAATAAACACATAAAATTACTCTTATTAATTAAATATAATAAGAAAAAGAAAATAACATAGAATTATATTATTCTACTAGCTCTACAGCTTCATCTTTAAGTTCCATAGACTTTTTATTGGAAGGTTTTCTTAAACTTGTTATGTAAGGGTCTGAAGTGTACAAAAGTGTATGTAAAACGTCTTCATTTGTAGCTACTCTAGAGCATTTTCTAGCATGATGAAGTCTGAATCGTTTATAGTCTTTGTTCCTTGATTCCTGGGCATCTTCGGAGAGCTGTCCAAGAGGTAACACTGGATAATGCCGAATTACACTTTCCCCATGAATTAGGACTTTATGGACAGAAGATGGCATACAATACCACATATATTTACTAACATATCGTTGTGCTGTATCAAAAGCATACTGTCCAAATTTCGTAGCATTAATTACTTTTCCGCTAGACATAACTTGAAGTAAAACATAAAATCGTTTTATCAATTCCTCATCCACACCGGTAATTTCTGCAGTGCACTGATAATTTTGAAAAAATCGTCTAGCTGTATTACCGTCATTACTGTTACCAGAACCTTTCTTAGGTTTATCTATATTTAAACCAAGTTCTTCTCTGAACCTTCTTTGTACATATGTCTTCTTTTGTTTTTTCAAATCTTTATTTTCTGTCGTTGTAGCAGACCATTTTTCAAAGCCTACATTATAAGATATATGTAAAATTAGTTCCATGAATCTAATCCAGCAATGTAAAGTCGAAAGCCCATATTGATAAGAATTTTCGTCAACAGGTTTATTTTGTACTTTTTCTAAATTGTTCATCTCTGTAGGTCTTGCACCACAAATAATACATACAGCACCTGATGAAGTTTCTGACAAAACTTGAGCCACTTTCCCGTCAACCATTGTCAAAAATAATGTGTGTTTGATTTCAATACTTTCACCAATTTTATTGATTAAGCTTGTTGTGAGAGCGTTTCTTTGAGCTATAATTTCATTAACTACACTTGTAGTTTTCTCTGGTGTCTCTTTTGAAAATTCTATTAAAATGGGCCTACAAAATCTTACTGATGATGGAACAGGGTTTTCCCACAAAGTTTCATGTGTATTAATATCAACAAGTTTCAGAGGTACTAATGAAGATATAAATAAATTTGTGTCAGAAATTAAGTCATCCTCTTCAGTTAAGACTTGCTTGTATTCACTTTGTCCGCTTGAGCCATCACAGCCCCATTTCGAATACAGCATTAAATGTTTTTGCCAGCTTTGTATACACCATTGATTTTCAAAATTCTTGAAATAGTGTGATCCAGCAGATCTTGCAGTTTTATTTTTGCTGTAATATTATTAATTTCTATGCTTGATCTTGGTGGGTAGCACATTCCTTTAGCTTCCTGAATTGATTTATATGACGGAAATAACACGCAGTTCTTCGCAATTAAGCAATTTCTTGTTTTCATACTGTGCCATGTTAAGGTCCAACTCTATAAAAATACTGAGAGCTTGATCTTTAGAGTACGCTGTTAAATGTGGTGGTTCATTTAAAAGATTTTGACGTATTTCACTTTTTTTATCTATGGGTAATACTCGTAAATTTTAGCGATATTTCCCTCAGAAAAGTTGATAAAATTATTCCGTATATAACTTGTTAAAGCAACAACATAATTCCCGTCACTTTCAATCAAAACAAGACATAGGTCGCGTCTGGTACATTGGAATTCACTCATTGCGAGAGAGTAGGTGGTTAGATACACTTTTAGTAACGACAATAACGAACGAAAAACAGTATGTAATTATTCAGTATGCAGATGCTCTATTTTATATTAAATAACTGATTTGAAACGTATGCAAAGTATGGGAATAAAAACTATTTATCATTATGTGGTTACTCGGTTTCCTATGTGTTTTATTGATAATTTATTTTGTAGGCGAACTAAAAATGGTGAGAAATACTCGATACATTATCAAAACATAAACCGCAATTAATAATATATCACAAGTGTAACCTATATCAACTAATAAAACAAATAGATTCGCCCACGTATTTTTATGAAATAATTACTATTTCATGTTATGATAGATAGCATTATGTTGTGCAATGAAGTTGCAACTTTTTTTTTCTTCCTGTATAAAAATATTAAATTTCCTATCAAATAACATCATTTACAGACCTTCGGCAAATTTCGGCAACTGTCAAAACTCTAATTGAAAGTTTCAGATACGCAAAAATGATATGTCATGAGATAAATATTTCTAGTAAATATATTTATAAATATATAGCATATTTGTGTATACCAAAAAATAGTATATATTATAAGCTTTCTAAAATGGTATAATACTTGTATAATTTTTTTGCTAGCTTACTAGAAAATCATCCTGAAAAAAATACAAATTATGATGTTTTCGTGATAATTTTTCAATCATCGTATTTAGATGCTCTTTACTATAAAAAAGTACTAGTTACATACATAATTTATACATAATATAGTAGATCAACTTCTTAGCTATAGTTTGAGGTATAATACAAGTACCTGCGCCGATTTTTACAAAATGTATTTATGGCCAAGCTCTCTTAGGCACCTCCACATAGTGCGCCGCCGTTGTGAGCGCAAGAGGGCTCATTTGAAATGAGGGACGCTGACTTCATAAAAAAATTACGTTAAACAAAAATTTGGTTAGAAATCTATAAAGATATGAATGACATTGGTATCGATTCTGACACGATTCTCTAAACTTAAAACTAAATTTAACATCAGTCTCTCCTTTTCATTCTGTATGGAGAATGACAAGGATACACTGTTGTCAAATTTACGTTTAGGTTTAGAGAATCATGCCAGAATCGACACCATTTTCTTATTGACGATACGGAGTTTTTGGCGGGATTTCTGCGAGTGCGGTTGGCGTCTTATTTTAATTATTCTAAAATTCGTTCATAGTGGATAGTGTGAAATAAAATTGGTGTGATTTGGTGTTACAACCGTCTGCGCAACTGAAGAATTAGTGGAATCTTTAAAATATACGCTATTCCGGTCAAGTGGACGCGAGAACTTTATTGTAGTGTTGACTACCTCACAGAAGCTTAGAGAAAAAGCCAAGTCCATAAATTTCGTGCCAAACACTCCAAGAAACAGTAGAATGCGTCACACCGACATTCTAATGTAAAAAAAAGAAGATTAATATAACTAAAGACTAGGCTGTATGGGCATTGGGAACAATGCCCATACAGTCTAGTCTATAATTTCAACGTTATGTATAATGAAACGTCAATATTATTTAAGATTCTCCCTTTTCAGGAAAGGCAAAGTTCCCTTTTTCCCTTTAAATAATATTGACGTTTCATTATACATAACGTTGAAATTATAAACGCATACAATTTTGGTAAAGTTGAGATTTCTAATACTCAAAAAATGTATACATATATTTAATATGAAAAGAATTCATAAAATATAAGATATCATTTTTTTGCTTGTAAAATACTGCTCTAATTTATTATTATTTCATATAGACTATGATGTTAACTTAATCGAGAAAAACGGAACGCATTCGGCAGTGAACGAATGTCTACGATAGATATATTATCATTAGAATATCCACGAGAATAGCATTTTTTGCCATCAGTAGATATTTTCAATAGATATCCCTACTTTCGATATTATCTCGAAGCCGATATAATATCTACGCCGCGAGAATTGGGCCCCTGATTGTGACTTGTCTCCATATCACGCAAGCGAGCCGAGGTTTTGTTATCCGACTCGCCAGACGGAGTATTCTAGTGCGCGAGAGCATCAACCAGGGATGGGTTGTGCATTACCGATGAATCGATCGACATTTATAAACAGACCCATGGGGCCCTCACAACAGAAAAAAATTACAGGTCGACAGGTTACCAACCAGGGCCAGGTTACCAAAAATAGGCCCACGGAGGAGCTCGAGCTCCACCCATCAAGCTTGCAAGCGATTGTCGCTTGAAGTTGCAACCTCCTTGTTCGTTAGCACACTCTCCAAACTGCATTGTAAAGATTAACACAGTTTTGGTAGTAACTGTGTTGTGAAGTGTGTAGTCAAAATGTTATGTTTCTGCCTGAATGTAGCCTATAAGTATAGTTCCCCTTCATTGCAATGCCATCTTCGACTGATTTTAAATCTAATGTTTTTCTTCTTTCAGAGTGAAATGGGCGACCGCTCCTGATAGTAATACGCAACGCCTGACCATTGACGATGAAGAATTTTTCGATAACATGACTGATTTAATACATGTAAGTATTAAATTTTAGGATGTCTCTATTCTGGGAAAAAAGTATTCCTTAAATATAGTACACTTCTCACCTAATGACTGATGCTGTACTAAAAAAACTCTTCTCATATAAACAAAAAAATTCGACCAATCAATGGATTTTATTTTACCCTCTGTGAAGGTTACACTATATATCTTGTGAGCAATTTAATAATATTTGCCTGAATTATGCATAAGATTTCCAATGTATGAACAGATAGGGACCATTATGTCGCCGCAAACGAATCAAAACATATATTTTTAACGAATAATGGCAATATGCGTGCTTTTATTAAATATTATTTTTAACTTTCACATATCTAAAAGTGATTGAACTTAAGAAGTGGCCGAAATTTCAATCATCATCAATTGTCGTTGATTGAAGAGAATAATGAATATATATCTACTATACCTTCCTCTTGTTTACTATCTCGGAAAAGTGTTTATTATAATAAGTATATTTCTGTTTTACAGCATTATTTACAAGATGCCGATGGACTATGTACGAAGTTATTGCGATGCCTATCCAAAACTGCGCCGAACGGTGCGAACAACAATGGCCTCATGCAACCTGCGTACCCTCCCCATCCGCAGGTATTTTATAATATTTTGATTATTCAAGACTAGTGGCCGCCCACGATTTCGTATGCGTGGAGTTAGTTAGAAATAAAGGTTCACTGCTCGTTCCCCGTAAGTGATAGCGTAATATTATGTAGCCTATATATTGACCCGACTTCTTAATAATATTCTTGCTAAATTTGAAGTAAATCCATGCAATACTTTTTGAGTTTATCCCGGACATACATACAGACAAACAGACAAAAATTCTAAAAACTATATTTTTGACTTCGGTCACCCAACACCCAATCGCGCCATCTTGCGGTGTCTGGTCTCTCTATAAGTTTGAACAAGTTGACGCGTTTTGTCCGCGCGCGTGGCGCCTGACGTCCATTCACCCGCATGGTTACCATAGAGGTATAAGAATTGAGTAGGGGAGATATAGACTCTACTACAAGTGGAAGTGTCCCTCTAATAGAAAGAGAAAGAAGATGAGAGACCGCTAGCTTTCTCTCTCTAATCGCGCATGCGCATTATCAACTGTGTATCTTACTATTTCGATGTGATGCTTGGACCAACTATTGGACAGACGACTGCGCATGCGTCACAAGAGAGAGAGATAGCTAGCGGTCTCACTAAAAGCAGTGTGGAATAATTATTAACTTTATCTATATGCTTCTAAGACCTATATCGCTTAAAAATCTTGAAAAAGCAAAACTGGTCTTTTAAGTATGTACATAGTTTAAAATTATTTCACACCGCTTTCAGTGGAGTACAGTATTCTACGCATGCCGGCCGGTGACATTCCGGTAAGAATCGGCCCTTAGTGTTGCTAAGATGTGACCAAAGGCTTTCTTTCCATCAGTAAATATTATACAAGGAGGTTATTTATTGTTAAGGAAATACAACAGTATGACTAAAAATATTTTAATCATTAGTACTGATAGCAACCGGAAATAATTTACATGCCCTTGCAAGTAAATAAATTCATAAATCAATGATATTATATTAAATTCTACATTTATTAAGAACTTGACAAACGAGTTCAATAAAAGTTTTAACTAAATGTTTATATTCTATTCTCGTATAAAGGCTATGGTCTGGAGGAAAGAAAACGCAAAACTCTAGGGCTATGTTTTTACAAAGTTAATAATAAAAGACCTTATTAAGTTGACATGACATTATTGAGAGGTAACCTTAAGAACGATATATAAATAATATACTGTATGTCGGCGTGTCCTATGCTAACAGTATTGCTTTGTTATTAAACCGTAATAAACATGTATTATATTTTCTATACCAGCCGCCTCCATATCCGGCCACGCCTAGCGTTTCGTCCGCACTAAACTCTGGGCAATATCCTCATACGCATTCCACCGCCAATACTACCGCCACCGCCGCGATCGCTGCGTCTACCGCACAACCGCCTAGCACAGACCAAACGGACAGCGCGATGCAACCGCAGAAATTTGTCGATGCTCGTAAGTATGAACTAAACTAAAGCTAGTATAAACCACATCATAAGCATTCTACCGCCAATACTGCCGCCACCGCCGCGTTGTCGATTTTTGTAAGTATATACTAGAAACTAGACAATAGGCACTATTAGATCCAACGCATTCTCCAATATTGCCGCCACCGCAGCTTCTACGCTTAGCACCGACCAAACGGACAGCGCGATGCAGCCGCAGAAATTTGTCGATGCTCGTAAGTATGAACTAAACTAAAGCTAGTATAAACCACATCATAAGCATTCTACCGCCAATACTGTCGCCACCGCCGCGTTGTTGATTTTTGTAAGTATATACTAGAAACTAGACAATAGGCACTATTAGATCCAACGCATTCTCCAATATTGCCGCCACCGCAGCTTCTACGCTTAGCACCGACCAAACGGACAGCGCGATGCAGCTGCAGAAATTTGTCGATGCTCGTAAGTATGAACTAAACTAAAGCTAGTATAAACCACATCATAAGCATTCTACCGCCAATACTGCCGCCACCGCCGCGTTGTAGATGTTTGTAAGTATATACTAGAAACTAGAGTATAGGCACTATTAGATCCAACGCATTCTCCAATATTGCCGCCACTGCAGCGTCTACGACACAATCGCCTAAACGGACAGCGCGATGCAGCCGCAGAAATTTTTCGATGCTCGTAAGTATTAGATTATACGCATTCTCCAATACTGCCGCCATTACCGCGATCGCCGCGTCTACCGCACAACCGCCTAGCACCGACTAAACGGACAGCGCGATGCAACCGCAGAAATTTGTTGATGCTTGTCACCATCGAATTTGTTACTCAAAGAAAAGAATCAAGCCTTTTTATTGAAAAGGAAATCGTCAGACTGTAGGAAACAGGAGAGATTTTTGTTTTCAGTTGCTAATCAAGTTTGGATATAGACCTTGAAACTATTGTAATAATCAGTGCATAACCTCAGCCTGTAACAACGCCGAGGTATAAAGTTACCCTTAATACAGAACATAGATAACAGTCCCTATACTATTTTTTTACTAACGGAAACGAGTAAATGTTGCTGTCATTGGTCAGATTGTATTTTTGACGTTACTTTGACCAATGGAGACCGTCTTGCCAGTGTAGCGCAATTGCCTAACCTTGTCTTAAATAAAGAAATTGCTCCACTAATTAATTTCCGTGAACAGATTATATTGACGATTTTTGGAGGATAGCTATCGGTTCAACGTGTATTATATCCATTATCGCAAAACTTGCTTATTACAGGTTGGCGAATAGACGAGCGGGACCTTGAAATCCGAGAGAACATTGGCAAAGGAGAATTTGGAGACGTGATGCTTGGAATATTAAACGGCACGCAAAAGGTTGCAGTTAAAATATTGAAGGACCGCGAAGCCGCTAGCAAATTTCGTGCGGAAGCCAGTGTAATGGCGTAAGTAATAAGGACGAATAAAGTGTATACGCTTCATTATTTAAGATTATGTTCGTTTGGCCAATGTGAAGCTTGAAATAAACTTAGCTTAACTTTTACATTTTCCGAGTTTTACCGATATTAGAAGTTCCGCAAGTATCTTTATGTCTCAAATACACTTGGTCGTTAGCACGAATACGATTGCTAATGGAATTCGGGTAAACAACTAAGTAAAAATGAACGGAGTCGAGTACGCCCGTATTCGAGTAGTTTTCGTTTTGGTTACACGACACTATCTTCCAGTCCGTATTCCAGTGTAGATATTGTTTCGTGCGCCCGAATACGGGCCAACGACCAAGTTTAATCGATCCATAAGACTTACGTTCAGCTTCAATTATCTATCCTCAGTAAAAGATAAATTACTCTGGTTATGGTGTTTTAGCAATTAGTTGTTATCTTGGGAAAAAGTAGGTTTCCGCCGCGCCCATACAGTAAATCGATTAGGAACAAAGCGTCATTTCTGTCATGTGACGTGTCACAAAGATTGACGTCACTTATACAATCATTGCAGTTTCTAGTAGAATTTATTTTAGAGTAGCGACAAGTGTTGTCAGAAACAATAGCGATAAATTATTTTCGAGGAGGGTGGAAGTCGACCTTTTAAGGTGCTGTCCGACGGCCTGTGTTGTGGCGGGCGTACGGGATTTCTATTTACCTCGTATCATGTATAGAGACTGCTAAATATCAAACGTTAGAGTTCTCATACGTTTGACTACCCTGCGCGGCACGGCCGCGTCCGCGACAACACCATTGGACAGCCATAGGGCCGTTGGACAGCACCATTAGAGCAAATGCACATTGAGCCACTAGTGGCGGTAACTAAACGCGTATACAAGCTGCGGACGAGTTTTTTCATTCATTTTGTATTGTATCGGCGCAAACTAAGCGTTCGAGTGGCCCCTACTAAGCCACTACGGCAGCGATCGGTGGTCTTGACTGAGCCACTAGTGGCTCAATGTTCTCTTGCTCTTAACTACTTCACAAAATTTGTGGTATTACTGTAAACGTGAGTTATGAGTGCTTTTTTAACATACGCAGGTCGTTAAAGCACGAGAACCTGGTGCGTCTCCTGGGTCTGGTGTTCAGCAGTAACGGTAACACGTGCATAGTGACGGAGCACTGCGCGCAGGGCTCGCTGCTCGACTACCTGCGCAGTAGGGGCAGGCACTACGTCACGCAGCTGGACCAGATCAACTTCGCATAGTGAGTCACGTCTCTTGACACGCCTTTATTAGTGTACGGCAGCGTTGCCAGACGTCCCGAATTTTAAATCAAAATTAAATGTACCGCGCGGGACAGGCACAATGCCTCTTTTCGGTAATAACACGACCGTGCGTGCGGCGTACTGAGAAAGCGCGGGCGGGTCGCACAGACAAGTGTGGAGTGGCCGCCTGCCCGGCGCGTAATGCAAATGAATATTCAATAACTTTTAATTATATATGTTTTTTACTATGTCCCGCTTTTGACGAAAAGATTTCGTTTTTTTTTCACTCAAAAACTCCCAAGTGTAGCTGGTGTACAGCCAGTGACTGCTCTGGTCGAGCGTGGAGCGGGGCAGGGGAAACAGCGTTCATGTCAAACAAATGCTAACGCCTAGTAGTGCCCTGAGTCGCGACCGAGCGGAGCGTTGGCTACAGCGGGCTGGTTTGCGTCGAGTGGGGCGCCATGTGCTAGTTCAAACGTGTTTGTGCTGTGGCGTGATGATACGAGCGTTGGTGGAGGATGTAGCTGGAAGAAGTAATTACAGGAATCTTACTAATATTATAAATGTGAAAGTGTGTTTCTTACTCAATCACGCAGATCCTACTGAATGGATTTGGATGAAATTTGGTACGCATATAGTTTATGACCAGAATTCAGACATAGGATTCTTTTTATCCCGGAAAAATCTTAGGTTCCTGTGGGATTGACAAAAAACTTAACAGATAACGCGGGCTGTCGCTAGTCGAGAATAAATAAACTGATATGTTATTCGCATTCTTACTATATATAATAACAGAATAGTTAAAGGAAGAGTATGGAGGTCTAAAACTATGGGTAATATAAAACAGAGGTTTCTTTCTACAATCTCGATCACAGCGACGGGGTATCTTGAAGGAATTGTATATTATGGTGTTATTTGTACAGTGACGCATGTTGCGGCATGGAATACCTGGAGCGCATGCGCGTAGTTCACCGCGACTTGGCCGCGCGCAACGTGCTCATCTCCCAGGAGGGTACTGCCAAGGTGGCTGACTTTGGGCTCGCGCGCCACGACCACGGCCACGACGACCCCGCCGACGCGCTGCGGCTGCAGGCCAAGCTGCCTATCAAGTGGACCGCCCCCGAGGCGCTCAAGTACAACGTGAGTATACGCAGTAATTAGTGCTCGTCTCGCAGGAGGGCACCGCCAAGGTGGCGGGCTTTGGGCTCGCGCGCCACGACCACGGCCACGACGACCACGGCCACGACGACCCCGCCGACGCGCTTCAGCTGCAGGCCAAGCTACAACTCACCGACGCTGACACAAATTTTGGATATGATTATTTTTACACACAACAATCAGACAAATGAAACATGTTATTTAATGTATTTTTTTTCTGTTACAGAAATTTTCAAATAAGTCTGATATGTGGAGCTTCGGTATACTACTATGGGAGATTTATTCTTTCGGGAGAGTGCCATATCCGAGAATCGTGAGCATATTTTATGATGTACAATTCGAAAAAAGATGCTTGTTTATTTCGCTTATGTAGTTCTTTGGCATAGGATTGATTCAATTTCAACACAGATCAATGTATAACTGAATCTTCGCTACTTTATTTGTTTCTGAAATTATAAAGAATCTATTTTATATTTGAGATTCATTACAATATAAGTGTTAATGGTGACAGCCGCTGGCCGAGGTGGTGCGGCACGTGGAGCGCGGGTACCGCATGGAGGCGCCGGAGGGCTGTCCCGCCGGCCCGTACGATCTGATGCGCGCCGCCTGGCACGCTGACCCCGCGCAGCGCCCCACCTTTCAGCACGCGCGCCGCGCGCTCGCCGCCATCCGCGACGCTCCGCCCGCTTAGTGGTACGTACCGCGTGTATTTTATCATCTAACTTTATCATGGAAAATTAAAGAATACAATAATAACGTTTAGAGGTAGACAGAAAAGTGTATTAATTGACGTATAAAACTAATCCTATCCCAATCGCCTAACAATAGTGCATCACAAAACGTCGGAGCAGCCCTGTTTTACATTACATCAACTTAAGCAGATAACATCAACACATTTGTTCAAATGAACACGTTATGTCGTAGCAGTAAGGTTCAATCAATCAAATCGTTTATTTTTGAAGCATATTATGATCATGTAATCTGATCCTAAAAAGTAATTTTATACCTCAATAAACCGTTTCTTTTATTGTTACAGTGAACGTTAATCGTAGACGTCTTGTGGGTGCTTTATGATGGTTTCACTAAAATCTATAACATACATAGATTACTGAGCTGTATTTTACGAATCACTCTACATGCATCTAAAAGTGAGTACTAAATTAAATATGTATTATGTGACACTTCCGCTACTGAAGTATTGTTCTTTTCTAGTATATTCGGATAGTGTACAAAGATGTGTAGTAGAAAAAAAAGATTTTCCATATTGATGAAACATCATACGGGGCTTTTAGTGAAGTGCGCTTTGTAAAAATAGTTCCTGATCTTATTAGTATATAATTTTATGAGGATGTAAACGATTGTTTAGTAGTCCGTACTGCGACAATATGACAGGCAAGAGGCCACATTTGTTGTCTTTTTAACCGATTCATAAAAGGGGAGGTATCTTCTAATTACTCCTTTCATGGTTGTTAGTTTCTATCAAAAACTTGATAAAAAAATACTTTTTCAACATTATGATAATAATTTCTAAATGTACCAATAATAGTGTCACTAAGCTAAATTTGTGGTTTGCCAGCAAAACTTTTATCACTAATAATTGCCTGGCGTGTTTTCGTAGCTCGGACTTTACTTTAAAAGTAAATGAATTGAATGTTCAAATAGATAAGTATCTATAAGTTAGTAAGTAAACCAGTGATATTTTCAAATTATTATCTTAAAATCTATTTTAAGAATATACATTTTGCGTAGATCCAACCCATATGATCTTTGACAAAAGAATATAAACAAATATCCGACGAGGCTATTTCATTAAACGCCCCGTATCATCTAGGTCTAAACTTAAACGAATTTCTCTTATAAAATGTTTTTAAAAATCCACCCAATATGGCCAATAGCCGTACGTCGGTACTATGGTACTGTCTAGTCAAAGTAAAGTTTGTAATATTCGTTGTATTAGAACATAATTATTATTTTCATATTATTTAAAAGGAGTAAGGTGACTGATAAAATGTAAACGTAAAATTTTAAAATGAACAAGAAACTGAATTCTGCTATTAGTAATTATTTTTTATTTATCCATCGAAAGCTGATTTCAATAATGCATTTTGATATTCGAACAAAATCATGATTTGTTTCAATGACATTTCTGAAACCGGGTGACACTTATTATTAATACGTTTTAAAAAGTATTTTCACTTTATGTACTAAATTATCATCAGCCCTACGAAAAAAATCAGTATCAGAAAATGAGATCATAATTTGACGTCTAGCACAGACTGACATCGACATCATTGCAGGAAAGTATTAAAGTTCATGAAAAAATGTTTTAATGACGAGAAAAGCTTTTTTGCCTCATAACTCTGAAAAAATCTACATGAAATTCTATAAATAAATATTATCATGCCCTGTAATTCTTAAGTCTATAAACTTTATATTGGGATGAACCACACAATGGTTGTGCAAAAGCAGCTTAATTTGATTGTGAAAAATTAGTTCAATCCCCTAATATGGACTTCAAAGTCTGATCTAGTTTAAAAATCATTGCATTTTGGCTAATGTGTTATTAGCATTGACTGTAATGCGTTAAAATTGCACTCCATTTTATATTATGTGATTAGATGTAACAAGGAATTAAGTGGTAAATTCCAACTTCAGGTTGTGTGTGTTAATAAACAAATAAAAATTACTATTAATAGTTACAATTGAAATATTAAAAAATGTACTAGGTAAATCAACATGACAATCTTTTTTATTTGCCACTGCCACGGCACATCGCTACAACAACAAATAGTAACAAAACTGTTTAAAAATGTGTACGTGCATTTTGTAAAGAATCTGCAGAGATAAATGAAGCATAAGAAATAAAGTAGAGGCACCAGGTCGTTACCCAAAAACTTTCACATTTCTCCATATGACTTTCAGCTTTATATTGCTTGATATAAGATTCACAAGATATTACGAAAATTTGTCATCTGTAACTCGATATGTGGCCGTTTGTACCTAACTTTAAGTTCAAAGTATTTATAACATTTTAAAAATCCAGAGTACAATTTATTAAACACATATTTCCTCATATCGACACACGCTACGCAAAACAGTTTATCTGCCCGATACACGAAAAAGTTTTATTGTGTTAATCTATATGCATATTAGTTTACCATGTTAATAAATATCTCTTATATTTTCACTCATTAGAGTAAAACATTTTTCTGAATAATTAAATCTCTATCTACTTTAATTATGTAGTATCATTCTTACAAAGAATTATGTATGTGTTGTATGTAGATTATGAGATTCTGAGTAGCCCAAATCACGTAACTATCACTTCGCAGAATGCGTGAGCCATAAAACAAACCCTTGTAGCTTGAAATTAAAATTGTTTTCAATATACGTATTTAAGTTATATGTGTAATTTTTTCACGTATTATCAAGTAATAACTCCATTTCTAACAAGAGAGATATTATAATTTATTTAGTTATATCATTAGCTAATAAATGGTCATTGGTCAAGTATATAATTCATTATTCTGGTTATGCGTAGAGTGTGGCAACATTATTATTATGTTTAACGATATCGTGGCAGCAGTAAGTAATATTAGAATCATAATGAATCTCAAATAACGAGGTGTGAATAAAATTTATATTCAATTTTAAGGAGGTGTAATTTATGTACGGTATTACCTACACGTGTTTTCGATGTAGTCGTCAAAGCACAGAAATATAAAATACAAAAATTATATTTTTCGTTTCTAATTTTAAAGGAGAAAAGGTATGGTTTAATGTTGTCTTATGATGCTGGAATAGTGTGTTTAGCGTAAGTAACTATAAAGATTGTCTAATATATATTTTTAAGAATGTCTATTTATATGTACATATATCTTTCTATAATGATAAGAGTTCATTAAGATGTTTGTTTTATCATGTCCGGTTCCTTTATTTGTGAAACGACTCGATTTGATATTAACATGAAAAGAACGTTCTCTAATGATAACAAAGCCACTTTAAAAGTACATTATACTACATTTGTGCCAGCAGTACTTGCTGGCACAAATGTAGTATAATGTACTTGAATTACAAAGTACTAACATTGAACACGAGGCTAGATCCTTGATTTATATTTAAAATCTATATGTCTACCTATATGACTGTTATGACACATTCTCATTAACAGAAATCTCCCACACTTTCGTCTTAGTGGTTCTGGTTTACCTCGGGAATAGGGGAATAGTATTCGTTCTGGGTGCATCGTGCGTGAATGATTAAAAAAGCGTTTGTAAATGCGGTAGAAAATGTATACTGTTTTAAAGCATTCTCGCTGGTTGCTACTTACGAAGTCATTGTCGAATCATAAGATGCAGTAACCGGACAGTCAGTTGAAGCTTATGAGACAACATTGTGATTTTTTCATTTTTTTTAAAGTGTTTCAAAGACTTAGGTATATTCTGAAAGAAATGTCCGTTTGTGTAACGTATTCTTATGCAATACTAGTTTTAAGTGTTGAATTGTTTTTACGAATTATTTATGTACGTACCACTTGAAAATTGATTAGAAATGATTTATTGATTAATTTCATTTCTTTTCTGTGAAAGTTTATTTTGAAATTAATCACCTCATTGTTTTCATTTGTCTTCCTAATTTTTTCTATTGTATGTTCGTAAATATTACAGAGTCGCACAACGGCGCACTAGTCTAGGATGAGTTTAGTTCAGTGAACCGCTATGCATTATTGTTTTAATGGTATGTTGTTGTTTTAACATTGTTCTTGAAATAAAGAAATGAAAATCTCATCTACTAATAAAAAAAAATATGTTTTTTACTGCTGTATTATATTTCTCGTATGTTCTTCAATGTAAATACGTGTATGTTAAGGGATAAATTGTATAATAACAAAATATAATTCCGAAACAATAATTTTGTTTTAATTTTCGAATTATTCATGACGGTCTGTGTCTGCTTCTGAGCAGCAACAGGAAGCCGAGCTGCAATCGGTCTCGAACACTCCCAATATCTTCTCAGAAGTTTTTATGTCTGCAGGATTCTGTCGTGATAAAGACTTGGGAAACCATAACTCGGTTTTTAAATCATCTTTACTCACCATTCGCTCAAGCCCGCTTGTGAAGCAACTTGTGCTACAGTTTGATGGCGATGTTTGTGTTTTACGTTCCTCCGCATTGCAATTACTCGCCTGATCAGTGTAAGTAGTCACCGACTTGTCTGTCGTACAAGGTTCCCTGCACTCACATTCAACGTTGCTGGTTATTTTAACTGGCGATCTCTGTTCTTTATGCTTCTTATATTTAAATCCGGTCTTCTTTTTGCGTATTTTTGTATTAGAATCTTTACCGCTCGACATGGAGGCATCACTGCGTTTGTTATGTACTTGATAACATTTGCATTCATCTACGAACTCTCTTTCTGGCTGTATAACATTTTTGTTAGAATTATTCGAACAATTGCAAGGTTTGGCACATACAGTTTGACAAACAGTGGGATTCTCTGCGGGTGTATCCGTTTGTGCAGATGCATATTCTGTTATTGATGTGGGACGCCACTCACATTGACGCAACCGTGGAGAAAAATAATGAAGATCTGTTGTCGACGACCAACCGTCGTTATGAAACTAAAAATTTAAAATCGTAATTTTCTATCTTTATTAGATATGAATTCAAATCAATCAATCTCGGTCGTGATCATAATAACATACTACTATGGTTATCTACCTTCAGTTGAAAGGGCATGGTCGTGTCACCAAACATATATGGTTTTGAAAAAAGTCCGTTGTTGTTTTGACATTGCTGACTGAATAAGGCCGATGACATCCTGAAGTAAAGATACAATTAATTTTAAACAATATTGCACGATGCTATATATGTAAGGATATATAAACACGAGGCGCAACAAATTACCCCACCCCACCTGATGTTAAGTGTAAGTGCGAAGATACACGATGCGACAAAAAGTGTGCTGCTCCAGCCATCCTCACCTTGTCAGCCTCAATCCCTCTACCCCGCGGAGCTCAGCACCAGCAGAAACACAACACCATCAAAAGGTAGTGTAATACCCCTGCATGTGAAAAAACCTTTACATGTAGGGGTATTACAGGTTTTTTCACATGCACGAATGTGCATGCAATGCATATGGTGTGGGAAGTAGCGAGGAAAGGAGGCAGGGACGTAGTGAGGCAACTTACTCGTCATGTCGCATGTCATGCCCACTCCCCATTTTCTTGGTTTTTGCTTTGTATCACATTGATATAATTGGCTATCTAAAAATGCATAGCGCACATATTGCCACAATGACATCGTCCATCGTATAGCAAAGGCAATGACCAAGTGTGGAGTTTCGCCATTAATTCCGCGAGCAGTGTGTGGTCAGAGAGAGCAACATCGCGGCAGCACGAGCAACGCAAGCAGCATAGTGTGGCGGGACTATAAGCTGGTGTAGGATTATGGGGTAGGTAGAGCGCAAGTATTCCATTACCTTTTTCGCAGGTAACAGTTGCTAGAAAAAATAGCAGGGTTGACATTTATTCTGCATGGAGGAGTACATAGTAAAATTTATTTATGTATTTAATAAAACTGCCATCCCATTCACTCTTATATCACACCAATATGCCTAACAAACAATATCGTATTTCCATACTTTACAAAATACTTACGGATTTGAAATGCTTCTAACATAGAACATTCCGCTTGCGTTATTCCAGTAGGGGTGGTGCGTGTGAAGATTAGGATCACAAAATGGTGTATTGCGCTTGTTAGTGGGTATGAAGTAAAAGTGTACACTCCCATCAGGATAGATCACTGAAGCTACTTCACCTTCTCCTATTATTTCAGGGTACATAGTGCGATGTGGATAAGCTGCAAAAGTAATGATTATATTAAAGGCTTGTACTCGCATCCAATCCCCAATATTTTCATAGATATTCGTACTTACAAAAATTGCAGGGATGGTAAGGCCTGTAATTTGGATATCCAGTACTATTAAATGGCGGGTTGCACTGCATAGCTGGATCTGTTTTCAACAATTCACCTGTTATCTTTCATATTAGAAGGAAGAGGTATTTTCCCGATTTATAAGATTAAATGATAATATAGAGCCCCATGTTAGTATTGGATTGCATCACTGGTAGTTGACTGCACTTGACTTGTTTTTCAAATATCGTCTATTTAGAGATGACAACGTCAAATAAAAAAGAAAGAATAAATGTTTAGTCCAGAATACACATAAAATCTTAGACGAAGGATTTCGCTACGCATAAAATTCACCGCCTTACCAGAACTCATCCCGAACTCTTTGATTATTTATCCCGAACTATAATATTTTTGACCGCGAACTATAAGGCAGCTCCCCTCGTTGAATTGAAAGTCATACTATTTCAGCAAAACGAGCTAAGCAACTATCATCACCACTAGCCTATTAATGCCCCCACTGCTGATTCACAACCCTTTCCTATGGATGGATATTAAGACTATAATCTACTACACGTGCCCACTACAGATTGGTTGATGCCAACGACTGCAGCGGCTCAAGCATGAATTTTGGCAGCTCCCTTATCGTATCGCTTCATCAAAATTATTATGAAAACAAAACACTTTTAAATCGAAGCAGACGTATGATCAAACTGGCTCCTTCCATACAAAATTTGACGAAGACAATATGATTAAGGAGCTGTTGAAATTCGTGCTTGGGCTTATGATGTAGCCGGGCCAAAGGCTTAAAGCAGCAGTAGGGGGGCATTATGGAGTGATGCCCTGCCTTAAACGGCAGCGGTAGAAGCCTGTAGTGCTCTTAACTTGGGATTGGATCCACATACAAAAGTGAAACTTTTAGGGTCGATACTAGTGATGTAACGAATGTAATTTTTTGAACATTCGCGAATGCGGATGCGAATATCTGGTACCGACATTCGCGAATGCGAATATATATGTTTTTGTTCTAAATTGGCGCCAATTGTCTATGGCATGGTGGCAGTCTCGTTCGAATTGCCGAGTTGATATGAACACATCCGACTGAAGTGCCATTCCGCTCGCGCCGGTCTTTTCGTAAACAAAACAAGTGAATTTTGAGGTTAGTTTGAATAGTGATTAATTAACATGAGTAAATCAAATTCTAGTGAAATATGGACTGTGTAACAATGAATATTCAAGGAAAGAAAGAACTACAACTTCTTCAAATTGTTTTTTTTTTTATTCATATTCGCAAAACATTCGCAGAGATTTTGCGAATGCAAATGTAAATGCGAATATTCGCGAACGCGAATGCGGATAATCGTTACATCACTAGTCGATACCATCCACTCCGGTCGTTCCGCCCCTACCTACCTAGGGGTACCTAGTTGGAAAAAATTGTTAGATGGTACTTGATCTGAGCCATCCACCCCGGTTAACGACGAGGTAGAGGCTACCGGGGTCGATGGAACAATTTTTCCCAATTACCCCGTTAACGGGGCACGGCGTGACAACCGTGGTTGATGGTACCGACATACATAGCCACAATTTTTTGAAGTTATACTTCTTTAGGCGCGTTATGAAAAAATGATCATCGCGCATCTTAAAATTTCACTCTATTTTAAGATGCGCGCGCATCACTGTAACACAAATTATTAAACAGCATGAAGTTAGTCGCTTTAGCGACCAACTTTATGCGTTACTTTTGTGTTTACCGCACATTAAGCAAATCTACCAACAAAATAGAATCTCTATTTAGTGGGTGCTAACGACTGCATTGTGAAGGCCTATCAAAAGTTTTTATTAATCTGGAACAACGGAACCAAAGCGCGATTCAGGAGACTACAGCGCCATCTCTTGACCATTGGTGTAGTAGAACCAAAAAGCACATCTTTATTTTTTGTAATAAAGTAACAGTTATAGGTATTCATTTTTATAATATTTATCCACATGTTTCTAGTTTGTATATTCGGAATACGTGTTTGAGTTTCATACAAGTGCAAATCACATATGTTCTAATAAATTATATTCAGTAGCGATTTTAATTGAATATTTTGATTATTTATTTATTTTTTCAAATTAAAACTGAACTTTATTGACTGTGTCCTTTTCCAGACTTTTTATTAATTTATTGTAATTAATTATTTGCATACAATTAAAAACTAATTTTAAACGATGCCAAAGAAGGATAACTTCTCACGCGCCTACATAAGTACACGCACCCATTATTTTTTTGTTCACCTTTAGCATGCCGAATTTTTAATTGTTATTTTATTTTATTATTTATTTATCATCAACAAGTTTCAACAGCGTTTTACACAATATAATCTAATATAAAATTTTAAACGGTACTTTAGCCAATTACAGAAACTCACTTTGTATTCAATTTAAAAATTAAAATGATGACGTAGGGTAGAAATTACAAATTAACAATAATATAAAAGAAATACCAACAAAGATTCAAATTAATTTTGCGATAAATATAAATACCTATATAAATCACAATTATAAAAGGAGCATGATAACTAACTTTGTGTAAATGAGTGCGCACGTGTGTGTTTGGTGTAGCGTGTGTGTGTGTGTGTGCCTTCCGTAAAAAATATCCATATCGAAACGAGCCGGCAAAAACAGCGAAATGTATGAGCCGGAGCCAGTGCGCGTAGTCGGTTGTGCACATTGCGTAGGTAGGTATCTTATCACATTTTTCGCATGGTTTACATGGCGGCAATATTAAGTGTGTATGTTTAGGAAACCAGAAATTAATAATTGATTTAGTAAATGCAACATGTCAATGAAATAATGAGTCTGTAACAGTAATGTCATTTCAATAATCACCAGAATAATAAATAGATTGAATTGATAAATAATAATATTGTACTAATTACTTAACTAAATGAAAAATTATATTAATAATCACTAGAATTATTGCATTAAAACATTGCATTGAATAGTCAAATAAAAAATAGTAAAATAAAAAGATTAGAAATTGATTATTCACTTGTTATAGTGGACATGTTGACAGATTAATAATAAGTTCAATGGAGGGTTTTTAAATTATTTACTAATAATCTACACAAAGCAACCTTAAACGCATTTCTGTATAAATGGAAGATGTCGATTTCAGAAAAGTGTTTATTATAATTATGTTCTAGGCAGTCTTATGGTCATGTCATTAGCTTCGTAATTTGTTCGCACCAGGCAGCGGTACGTGAAACAATTGAGTGTCGCGTTCTTTTTACGGGGGCACTAAGTGTGTTAATCCGGTTAACTAGCTCTATGCAATCCAGTTTTCCTGAGTAAATGTCATACAGAACCATCGTGTCCCGCATGCGACGCCTGTCACTAAGCGGTATAAGATCGAACCTAATAACATGAATGTCTGTATTCACAAACTCCCTTATTTAGCTTAAAGCCCAAGAATTTTGTGAATTTTATTTGCAATTTTTCAATAGCATGCACGTATGTTGTGTATTGCGAATTCCAGATACTAGACCCATATTCAAGGATGTTACGAACATATGCGTAATATAACATTTTAAGGCAAGTTACATCGCTAAATTCCTTTGTTACTCTGAAAATAAATCCTAAGTTTTTATGAGCTTTACTTATAATGTGCTCAAAATGTTTTTCAAATGTCAATTTTGTGTCCAGATATAACCCTAAATCCTTAACTGTGGTTGCCCTGCATAAACTAGTATTATTTAATTTAAAATTGTATTCGATAGCATTTTTGCGTCTTATAAATTGTATATGTATGCACTTTGTCTCGTTAACCGCAATTCTATTTCGAACATAATACTCCGAAAGTCGATCCAAATCTTTTTGAAGTTGTAGACAATCTTCATTTGATTTGACTTTCATATATATTTTGGTGTCATCAGCATAAAGCAAAAATTTAGCATGCTTAAAGCAGGACCCTATGTCATTTAGATAAGCTGAATAAAACAAAGGACCGAGCAAGGAACCCTGGGGTACACCGGAAGGTATGTTGACAAACTCAGAGCGATCACCGCCAATTACCACAGCCTGCTTTCGGTTCGATATATACGACTTTATCCATCTGAACAGGTCACCGCGTATACCCAGTTGATAGAGCTTCTGCAGAAGTATGACGTGATCCACACGATCGAAGGCTTTTTCGATGTCCGTGTAGATCACGTCAACCTGAGATTGCATGACCATGTTTTTATGTAAATCACTCACAAATAATCCTAGGTTCGTAAGTGTAGATCGACCTTCTACGAAACCGTGTTGTTCGTCAGGTATACCTTGTTTTATTACAGGATATATTTCTTTATAAACAGCTTTTTCAAAGCATTTTCCGAATACATTCAAAATTGATTTGGGTTGATAATTTTCTACTCTGCATTTAGAATCCTTTTGAGAATGAAAAAAATCAACCAACAAGTAGCGGTGGGTCATTGGTAGAAACACAAGAGACAGAAAGAGGTAAGAAGGGCTTTGTGGGCGGGGCAGTCGCGCACATGTTATGTATGTGTGTGTACGAGCAAACGCACATAATTTGATCAAAACTTGATTCTGATTGCGTCCTTGCTCTCGGTTGTGAGCGCTGATTGGTTCGATTGTTTGATGTCGCGTCGTTTGATTGGCTATTATCTATTAGGTGGAAGTGTAGTGGGGGCGAGTCGGCGACTTCGGTGTCCGTACAATTGGTAAAATTTTATAATAAATGTCTACAATCCGAAAAAAATTGAGGTAATGTAAAAGACTTAAATCCACACAACTTTTTTTTATATTCTGTTTCTAAATTTTGGTTGTTGTGACTGTTTTAGTTTTTAATGCGTCATATGAACGACAGTTGGTTAGACAAACTTCCACTCTCAGCCCAAGGCTGCTAAGGATAAAAATGTACCATTGAAAAAAAAGAGAGAAAGAAAG